ATTTAATTAAGTCCTATCCAAATACAATTCAGAGAGAAGCAGAATTAAAATGTTAATCAACCTTACAAGTCGTATTTATTTTTAATTTTTTTTTATCAATTTTAGTTGCCATGAAAAATAAAATTTATGTCAGTCTTTTTTCTAAGGTAGATTTTTAAAGGAAGGAATATTATCAGGGAAAACTGCCAAAAAGTAAAAATTGTTGCTCAGTAAAAGTGTTGGAGGAGTGTCCTTGCATCCCCTCTGACCACCATAAACCGAAAATATATATTCGTTTAGGTTTTCTTCACTTGAAAAAAAAGTTATAATAGTTTAAATAGCTTTCCAAATCAATTTGGAATATCCCGATCTATTTTTAGATCAATGTAGAGGAATCTCAACCAATCACAGAGATGGAAATTATTCAATCATATACTGTAAACCAACTTTTATTCGCGATGACTTTATTTCGCGATTAAGCAGGGGTAAACAAGTTCGCGACGATTAATTTTCGCGATCAAGGCTTTAAGTATCTGTTATTCAAAGACATAACACTTTAAGGACCGGTTCGCGGCGAGAAATATTCGCGATGACGAGGCTCTAGCGAACTTCGCGAAAATTTCTCGCACGCGAATAAAAGTTGGTTTACAGTAATAATTTTTGTCATTGTATTGCAATATATTGAAATATCGATATTATTGCCCAGCCCTAGTTAATCATCTAAAACAACTCCAATATAAATGTGAGCATGGAGCAGTGTCTTTAGAATATAATCTTTTAATTTCGGTCTAATAAAGTTATAAAGAAGCTCTACAGTTTTTCCGGTGACAAGTTAAATTTTGTGCAGTAAACCAATGAAAACCACGTGTAGCCATTGAATCGTAAATACGTGGTAGACTGTTATGCCTTGGGACTCTTCCACTTGATTGGAGAACGGGTGTGACGAAGACATCGTCACGTGTTTAAAATTGCCTTCCATATAAGGTAGTGGTCTCGACCTGTGAAAGTAATTTATAAAATTGCTACAGAACATCAATACAAACCTAACTAGACCTTGAAAGTACTCAGATTATTGTGTCAATGATTCTACAGATCGGGACAAGCCCTCAAGTCCCATTAGTAGGGAACCTATTCATTATGCTTCATTGTAGCAAATTGGACTGGATCTGCTCCAAAACCATTTTGAAGAATACAAAAAAGTTCCACTGGAAATAACTTGTATATGTCTTACTCTAAAACATAACCCATATAAATATATAGACACAAATTCAACTCATTTTTTTAATGTTTTTTCACGCTTCGAATTTACATGCCAAATTAAGAACTGTCTCGATTATTCGTAGTAGTGTAGATGAAAATTATCTGCCCCTGATTATTTTGCTTCATTGCCAGAAAATAACTCGTTGAAAAAAATTCACAAAAGACTTTTTGAGATTACGACAAAAAGACAAAAACTATAAAACTATAGGTACAAAGAAAACTAAATAAAAAAACAGATTGTTAAGGCAGAAAATGATTGGTTACAGGGACTTGTACTGTAGCAAATTGCATCAGACATTTTAATTTTCTCTTGGTTTTCGGAAACTGCAGCTATGTTATGTTGCCCCCAGAGAGTGCCTTTGGCATCGGGCAACATAACAAGCCTGAGCTTTCCCGTCACCTCGGGGCTAATATTCTGGTATGTTGCCCTTGAAGCCCGGTTATATAGGTATAATAGATTGTTCGGGTCATGATAACTCGGATATAATATATCCTAATTGGGAGATATTAGCCCAAACCTGTTTATCCAAGGTGAGTGACCCAAACCTAGTAAAAAGTCAGCATAAAAATGCCCAGTTCACACAAAATTTTCTCTTCTCAAAATATTTCATATATGAATGACAATCTTATATAAGGACATTTAGGACAATACTTACAATCCAATTCCTTCGGGCATCTTTTCTGTTGGAACCAATTCATTACATATCGCAGGATTTTCAATAAACTTTCTCTGTAATTCTTCAAACGATGTAAAATCTGCTTCAATTGAATTACACACATATAAAATTTCCTCCACAGTATTCAATTCTTCTGAAACTACATCCTTTCTAAACATTGTATATAGCCCCCATTCATATACAACATCCATCGCGAAAGCCCTGTACAAGACTTTTATTCCCAATTTGTCTATATCAGATCGCCTCCATTTGGTTGTGCTGTTTAAAAATGAACTCTCTAATGTAGTTGTTGACTTTTCAGTGTCACTGTCATGTGGCGAACTACTCACACTTTCACCCACATCGGAGTGTGCCCTTTTCCTGTCTTCCATCTTGCAGATGAAGCAACCAGTGATTTTGGTTCCTGACTAATTCTTACCCGGTCAATCTACATAAAAAATACAGTCTTTAATATATTTTTTTTTCAATGCAGAGCCATGTAAATCTTGAAAAATTAAACTTTAAACTAAAGCACAATGTCTAATCATGGTAGGCCTAATCCCAAATCCACTACTATTCTTATTTTAATTTAAAGATGGAGTTTCTCTAAAATCACAGCTAATTTTATTTTCATTATATACCACAACGTATAGATTAATTTTTCTTATACCACCTTCTTGGGTGCTCCTTATGTGACGTTACATGTAGAAAGGATTGAACTGAATTAGTCACAGCCAGTGTTTGTATCAGTGTATGCTCAGCATTCATACGTTGCAGTACTAACAACCCCCGACATAGATGTTGTTTTGTGATAAAACTCAAAGCATCAGTTTAAAGTGATTTCCTAATAGTATTAAATCAACTGAATCACTTTTTATAAAAATAATGTATTGATCAATTGGCTACATTACAAAATCAAGTACCTCTGAGATTCATGACCTGCACCCAGCTTGGCGGAAACGCGGGAAGAGTGAGAGAAATTGGCTCCCGAGCCCGATCCCAATTACAAATTTAAAAAAAACACTACAGGTTTATTAACTTGATTAAAATGACAATTATAATCTTTTTTTTTTTAAATCAGTCTGAATTAATTTTAAGGTTTCATTTATTTCTCATTTTGTTTCTGCATAGACCTATTAAGAGAACGATCTATCTCTGGTTTAATACTACAGTATCCTATACAAAAATTTTGAGTCATATACAAATTTTAATTGAAAAAAATCAAAATTTTTGTAGAGGACAATACAATGATATTTTTTGTAAAACGTACATGATCCAGTTTTGGAATAGTTAATTTCAATAAAAACCGTCTTGATCACTCAGAATTTGATGCCTGTAAGGATACTATATAGTATTTTCTTTTTAGATTTGTTGATGTTAAACAACCTTTTCAACCAGAAGATAAAATCTATCGCCATCAAATATTTTTTTTAAACTGTAAATGTAACTGTAAATGTATTCATGGAATTTATGAGAATTTGAATCTTTTTTTATGGGCAAAGCAATAAAGTTCATTTCACAGAGATTAAGATGATCCAGTTTTGGAATACTCATATTGGGGGAGGCACTTTCCAATTTGAAATAGATTTCTCTCAATTAATCATATTGATAACATTAATCTTAGAATTTTTATGCGCGTGGAGATGTCTTCACTTCAAGACTTATTGATGTCAACGACAACAATTCAAGCAGAAGATGAAGTCTATCAGAATCAAATTGCTTTTTAGGTAGAGAAATAAAGATGCAAAATACTAATTTTGAATTTCACAAGACGCAATAAAACTTGTAAATATGGTTAAAATTTGGTGTCTGTAGAGATTTCTTCCATTTTAAATTTGTAAATGTCATCGATATCCTATTCAGGATAAAAAGGATAAAATCTATCATATCATCTAGGGCTGTGTATTGAAATAAATAAAATAGAACGTTTATTAACTTTTGTTGTTCATATTTGCTAAGGAAGAACTTTTTATAAGCTTTGATTGCAGCAAAACCGAATTAGTCGTCCTGCATGTACAATAATGATTTCTTATACATAATACTGTTTATTTGGTTATACAGAAATATTTCTTCTGCGACATTTTTATACTTTAATTTGGTCTCTTTGATCATAAGGGTTTAGATAACATACAGATTAATCATAATAACACATTTTACCAGCAAGATAAAATTGTCAAAAATGCAGCTCATATTGCTTTAATGCATGGATTTTATAAAAAATTTAGTGTTTTATTACCCATTTTAAAGTTCTTGTCTCATTGTCATTACAAAATAATCACTGCATGAAAAGTCGCGTTTAATATAATTTAATAAATTCCTTTACTCCAGTAAATTTCTTGTATTGAATTTAATTTCTGTATAACGGTACATTTTACATGAGATATATTGTGATATAATTAAGTACAGTTTTCAAATAAGTATAATCACATTTAATGCAAAATACGTCGAGAATGATATAGTTTAATTGAGAAAATTATACGTTTCGTTTAAGAATATCGACATGTTAAAGTAAATATGCTTATACTTAAAGTTTAAGTACATTTTTGGTATTTTCAATATGTCATAAATAATTCTTTATACCTAATGTAAACTTATGTTGACACATTTTTGAAAAAAACATTTAGGCACCCTATTAATTTAATTTATTCATTTCTCATTTTTATTTATTTAACCCTTATGTAGATTTTTTCAAAACTGTGGAATATAACTTAGTTTTTTTTTCTATGTTCGACTACTACTGTAGTACAATTACATCGGGATCGAAGTCGGGCTCGAAAAGCAATTAATTTAAAAACAACACACCGCGCCGAAATTCAATTTCTAATAGAGAGTTCCACGCAGCCATGTTGAACTTGATCATGATGTTGTACGGGGCGAAAGAGAGTGTCGCGAAAAGGAGAAGCATGATTAAGTTTGGATTGAGTTTCTGTTTTAACAGAAGATGAAGACATTTACATGTACCGTCACAGTACGACCCTGTTTAGCGGTAGGAACAATGTACAGAATTTTATCACGTGTCCTTGAATGAATAATTGCCTCTGCTACTGGTAATGTTACTGTTCTTTAGTCTGGGCTCTACGCATAAAATGCCTGGCAGTAAAAACGTTTGGGCAAGCGCTATTTAAATTTTGTAATAATTATTTAACACTTTTAATTATCTCTCTTAAAGATGGATTTTAACCAGAATTTTCTCGTTTGGTATTGGTTTCAGAATTTTAGTCATTAAAGTGTTCCTCTGTTCAGCATTTACAGAGTATGTTGTACAATGTAATAAAATATTTATTTATTTCTTATGCATACTCAAGAATATATTCAGCAATTATTTTGATTATTTAAATAGTTGCAGTGGACTGTCCCTGAGACGATTCCCCACATCGCCAGCTATGTAGACAGCTTGTGAAAATGGTGAGAACCATGCAGCTCAAATTTTCAATCAAAACAAATAAACTAACAATGTTTAGAACTATCAACCTGTATCTTTAAGCATAAGACTATAAAAAATATTGCAACAAATTGAAATGCTATATACCAAGTAAACAAGGTTTATATTCTTATTTTCCTTATCCTAAATATACAATAGCAATGGATTCTGAGCTATGCATAATTTTTTTTTACTTTAAATACTTAAGCATGAATTATTAAAAATAGCTATCATATTCTATGATGCACAATTATGCATGCATTATTTACAGGAATCCAAATGATCACAAGAAATTACAAAAGCAGTATGAAGAAAGATTTCTTAAATTTTCTGATAAGATCAATAAAATCACATGAATTGATTTTTTTTAGCTCACCTGAGCCATTTTAAGACCCGAGCGAATTTTCTTATCTGTGTCTGGTATTTGTCTGTCATCTATAAACTTTTCAAATTTTTACATTCATGAGAATTAATCCTAGTTTGTACAAAAAACCCTGCAAGATACATCTTTTCTTTCAGAAATTGTGCCAGAAAAGTTTGAAGTAGCTATGGGAATGACCAACATTGAACTTGCTGAGCCTTCCTTCTGAAAGTGACTTGACCAGATATTTGGCTACCCAGTACGAGGTACGAACTAATCATTTGTTGTACGACTTACTGTGTATGAGATTGCCACCATTTGCTAGAACTTTGCATTTGCTGTCCACTTTAAAACCTGCTATCTACAGTGTAAGTTGTTAAATTAAATATATTTTACTTTATATTAAATCACTTGCTCATTATCCCAATAACTTGCATGTTAAATGCTGTAGATGCTAACCTTTGCATTTTTGTTTACTCTTAAATTCCATGTGTTCCGAGTATGTACATCCATTTCATATCATGTTTTGTCGTCTCTAAATTTAATCTAATACATATCATAATATGTTTTTGAAATAATTCGCTGAGCTAGATCACAAAGATTAAGGATTTTATTATTGTATGAATGTTATCTACTTGCTCTAATCATAAATACATCTGTTTGTATATTTTTTCGACGAGATGCCATACCTGCTTTTAATTTTTCATATTTTTTTATCCATAGTATCTTTCTGCTACATTAAATAAAATATCGTGGAGGAACACAAAGAAAAGGGCTGTGCATCTCAACATATTCAAGGTCAAGCAGGTAAATACATTGGTAAATTGCTCCAAAAATAAAAAAAAAATGGCAAAAAGTCACCAGTCTCCAATTTACATGTACTTCCACAAAATCTGTAGCTTGCTGCTGTGAAACTATAGATACGTATGTCTTAATATATTAAATGCTGTAAATGCTATTCTTTTCATTTTCATAAACTTTGTAAATCTTCAAATTCCATGTGTTCGGACTACGGTACCATTATGTATGTTTCATATCATATTTTGTCGTCTATAAATTTGATCTATACATATAATTATATGTTTTTTTTATATAATTCACTTACCTAGATGACACAGAGAATTTTTTTCATTGTGTAAAATGTTATCTTCTTGCTTTAGTCATAAGTATACCCTATTTGTATATTTTTTCTCCTTTTTTGTATATTCTTTCTACGGAGAGCCATACCTGTTTTTAATTTTTCATATTTTGTTTGTGACAGCTTTTTACCATATCCATAGTATCTTGCTGCTAAATAAAAGAATTATTGTGGAGGAGCAGAGAAAAGGGCACTTCAACATGTTCAAGGTCAAGCAGGTAAACATAGTAATAAAATGCTCCAAAAACAAAAAAGATGGCTAAAAAATCATTAGTCCCCAATTTACATGTATAACAACATTAGCTTCATAATCTGTAGCTCACTGGCCTGAAATTATAGATAATTATCTGTCTTTATTACCCAGACTTGAAAAAATGGCATATCTTTTGTGGTCTTCTGTAATTTTTTTAATTAATCAAAATTGAGCTGTGTTTCCTCAAGGTCAATTGATAATTTTACAATCAACTCAGATTTTGTGTACTATTTAATATATGCAATTGCATAAATCCGGAAGCACACATATAATATGTATATTTAGGCAAATGGGTATTTATTTTTATGTTTGTTGTAGAAATTAGGAGCTAGATGTGCTTCTCCAGAGCTGAAAACTTCTTGGCATGAAGAGAAGAAAAAGCAAGAAGAAGCAGTTTTAAATTTTGATTACGTCTTCATAGTACAAAAAATGATTCTAAAGAAAATACTATCTATGAAATTAGAAAACTGAAGTTGCGTTCTGATGAATGTGAGAAAGTCTTCAAAGAACAGGACACCAAAAGTGCAACTCTCAAATCAAAGCACTCTACAAGGCAGAGCATAAGGAGAACTAGGACAAATAAAGAATCTAAAAGAGTCAACCCTATGGATGTAGTAATCGAACAGAGATGGGCTATTAGAGATGAAATATCTGAGTTGCTACTTTTTTGCACAAATGTGATGCTTGTTTTACTTATCTTTAATTTACACATTCAATGTTAGATAAGAAAAAAATATACCTAGTGTTGTATTTTTGACAGCGAAATTTGATTTTTTTCTGATGCTTGATTACAGATTGAAACTGTTATGTTTTTTATTGTTTAAACATTTATTGGTTTGTTGTGTAGTATGCAATCACATACATTTTAATCTTGATTTATATATTACATATATGTACAAGTCTGACTTAAATAATAAGTGCATGGACAATATTGTGGAAAAAAATAAGACAATCAAGGGTAGTCTGAAAGATCTTTGCTGGCAGTAAGTTGCAGATCTTGATACCCAAGTAAGAGAAGGGTGGCGTCTCTGACCGATCCTTTTGCTGTTGCTTGTGGGCGAGTGAGGCTTCTCTGTCAGTGGCTTAGTGAGTCTTAGATGTAAAAAATAGAATAGGCAAATGAGGTAGAGACATTTCTGAGTAAAAAAGGGGTGAATTGTGATTTTAATAAATATTACAATTGATATTGAAAGAGTAATGAGAATTGCAAGAGTAAAATATTAATTTGTTTCCTTCCAGTTGAAGTAAGAGAGTTTATGACGAGAATCTTTTCCATTAAAATGGAATTGTAATTAATGCTTAAAAAATTTGTTAAATATACTTGTACATATGTTAATACAGGACTTTTATATGTGCATGTTTCAGAGCTCACTCTTGATATTTTAAGGCAAAGTTAAAAATATCACTATTGAAATGTCTTGCATTCCAATTTAAAGTTGATTTAATGAGGATATGTTAAATTACAATCATCACGCAATAAACCTAGCAGTTGGAACAGAAATGAGCTACATGTATTGGAAGCAATTTTAAGCTGCTATTGTTTTGTGTAATTGTGATACTTTTTCCTTAATTTGAATTGACATAACCAAATGATTTAAAGGATTTTTTGGGTGTTGTATTTTTCAGTCAACATTAAGTATTTTACAAGTCGAACTTGAATAATTAGTGCATGGACATCTATTGTGGAAATACTTGGGAAACAATATAAGGGTGGGCTGAAAGAGCTTTGCTGGCAGTAAGTTGCAGATCTTGATACCCAAGTAAGAGAAAGGTGGTGTCTCTGACCGATCCTTTTGCTGTTGCTTGTGGGCGAGTGAGGCTTCTCTGTCAGTGGCTTAGTGTGCCTTATTAAATGTACATGTAAAACGAATGGGCAACTTTTATTGGCAACTTATATTCTTTTTATGCAAAGTATGATATAATTTATTGTGGGAAATTGAAAAGCCATTTACAACCCATGCAGCAGTTTTAATAGGGGCAGTTTTAGTCAGATTTTGCAGTCTTTTGGAGTCCAGAATGACTACATTTTTGACCTGTTGTGTTCTGATTTATTGCGAATTTGAATTTTACACACAATTCTATTCTTATATTAAATTATTTATAATTACTTCAGTATATTACTTACTACTAGTATGAAGAAATTTACTCTACAATCATGATTGTAATTTTTTAAATTCTGACTTTTAGGCATAAATTTGAAATATCTTGTACTTTGTTAGAACTCATTGTTTGTAGACTATTGAGATAACATATAATAAAACTGAATGAGAAATGCATTTGTGTATGATTGTAAAATACTTGCCAAAAAACCCACAATTGTAAACCATACAAAGTATTGATGGCAGAAATATAAAATAAAAATATTATGCAATAATATAATAATATATTAAATTTCATCAAATACAACCTTAAATCTTAATGATATGGGAAGGTTTAATCCGTACATTTCATCACTTATACTTATAATATTAGTTTATGAAAGATTAAAATTTGAACGTATAAGTAAGTTTACAATTTTCCGTATATAACGTAATTTTTGGAAGTATTATAAAGTAAAGTGTGAATTTAACAAAAAATAATGAGGTAAAGATCTACGTTAAATTTTATTAAACGAACAAATTTAATATGACCATAAAACTTTATTTTATGGCCATGTTTAATAATAATTATACGTTTTGTATATTAGAGGTATAATACTTGTTTACGGCAGACTTAAATCCGAACGTATTAGTAAGTTTACAATTTTCCAAACTTTATTAAATTTGTTCTTTTAACTTTTCATTAAACTCGTATTAAATGCTAATTATTTTCTAACATTTACGATCCCACAATATGTTATATTATGCATTTAAACATTAAATAATCGCAGCATTTCAATCGCATTTAAGGTAAAATTAAACCCGACTTTTCATGCAGTGAATACTTCAAATTTTAAAAAAACTTTTAATGACTGTAAAATCAACGTTAAAATAAAATTGTAGTGTGTATTTATTTACATTTGCAAATGTTTTCCTTTATATAACACTACTGAAAGCAATGCGTATCTATAACTGTATAAATACTGGTACGGGGTCAAGAGGTCATAGATGAGCGTATAGATAAACGTTCGACGTAATTTCTCAGTGACGTCATAAAGGGTCGACGCGAGTTCGGTGGATTACATACATGCCGTTGGGTTTGAAAAATAACGCATTTCACTAGTTAAAAGTCACAATCAGGCAAATATAAAGTATGAATAAGTCACAAATGTAAATATAAGTAATAAGGTATCATTTTAAAACATCTATCGGGCTATAAATACGGGTCGGTACGAGATTAAATTCATCATAAAGCCCTTCGGGCTTTATGGAATTTAATCTCGTGACCGACCCGTATTTATATCCCGATAGATGTTTAAAAATGATACCTTATTTCTTAAATATTTTTGTAATAATTATAAAAACTGTGTTATTTCCTTAATAATTGTCAGTGATTATATAATAATTGATCAGTTTAAATTTAGAAAAAAAGAAATATAATTTTTGTTGATTAAAATTCCCATCTTTTAAACAGAACTAGAGGTACTGTGAGCAATGAGCTCACTAAATGATACCCCCGCCTCCCATATGATTATAATGGCAAAGTCCATGTTTTGCGGTGGCCAGGAAACCCAAAATATTTGTCGGATCCAAAAATAAAATAGGAGGTGCACAATGGCAATATGTAATCAAGATTCTGTGAAAGTTTCATTAAATTTCACTCAGTGGTTTAAGAGGATTTGAGGATAAGAGATGGGTACCCCCAAAGCGTAACAGACGGACGGACAGACGGACAGACGTACGGAATAAACGATTACTATATACCCTCCCGCTTTTCAAGCGGGGGGTATAATATACCCTTCCGCTTTTCAAGCGGGGGGTATAATTAGAAGAAAAACTGTCTGTCCGATACGTATTGGATGTTGTTTTTCGATACATGATTCTTGAATATAGATGCGTATCGATATATCGATATACCGGTATTGATGCAGCCCTATCAACATCAAATCTTCTTTTTAAGGAAGAGAAAGAAAAGATGCAAAAATCTAATGTTGCTTTTCAAAGGAGGCTATGAAATATACAGAACTCAGAAGAAATCCCTTGCAGGTACATAAGGTAGTCCTTGATGCATTATTGCAAGTTGGGAAATTTTGGATCATATTTTGGCACATTAATAAAGTTCATTTCAAAGAATTTGAAATTATCCAGTTTTGGAATAGTCCCATTTCAATAGTGTTGGTATAGGAGAAATGTTTAATACAGTACTTTTAAAATATCGTGATTTCGTATCTCGGCCGCGACTGACCTAGTCGTTAAAGTGTGTAGCAACTGTTCCTTCGCCATGAAAGTTGCGGGTCCTTCGGATAAGACCTTAAAAACCGAGGCCCCGTGTCAGCGGCAGGCGTTGGCACGATAAAGACCCCTCACTGCTCAGTGGCCCTGAGTGCCGAGTAAAGGTCAAAATTTGAAGCCCTTCACCGGCATACGGTGACGTCTCCATATGAGTGAAAAATTCTCGAGAGGGACGTTAAAAACACTATACAATCAATCCATCAATCAATTTGAGTGTGTCCTCGCTCCATTTTTTTTAGAGATAATCCTAAACGTTTTCATGAAAATATGCTTTTTTTGGTTTACAAGAACATGAAGCAAAGACCCACTATACCTTAGAAGTAAACTTTTATGACAAAACATTTGCATCTTTCAGAGAAATACTTCGCTTTTAATACTTCAATATGAATATGAAATCTGTTTAATATATGTTGAAGTGTTTGGGAATGCTGGACCAATGAGGAAGAGAGAGCTTAACTATCACTGTCGTCCGTGCGATAAATATCTTTTATGAATACATTTTACACATACCGAAAAAAAGACGTGACCTACATTCCTCTCGTCTCCGAAGCGGTGAAAATTTCCTCCCAAATACGTTGAAAACGTCTCTCCCATATTTTTAAAGGACTCCCGCGTTATCCGTTGTATACGGTGAAGATGAATCAACTAACAAGGTTTGAAAATCAAAAACCTCTTAGTAGCCAAGATATTTAACAAAGACTTCACAATGAATAGCCATAAAATTCAGAAAGTAGGTTATTGTGACCTACTTTTTGGTTGCCACATTCGGAGGCCCCAGTGCGCATCAACTGACAAGGAGAAAGCTTATATAAGCAGTGTCTGCTGCTAATCCTGTTTTGTTTCTATACATAAAATATGATTGTTTAAATTAAACTGACATCTTTTGATGATCCTAGGCTTAAAGCAAGCACAGAAGCATAGGTGATATGATTATTAAATCACGTTTACCACAAGAATACATTGCTAAGGTGGACCCCTGATTAGGCGGGTACTAAGGCATAAAGCCGTTTTAAGACCGCCAAAACACTCTATATTATATTATGGTGTATGAACCAAAATAAAAATTTTAAATTTGTCACAAAGTTTGGTTGAGTGTCGGGTCCTAATAAATTTCATGGATGAGTTTGGTTAATTGATGTCCATTTTTTCTCACACCAGAAATGTGTTAGACCATAGGTTATCTAAAACTGATTTACTCTTTATATTACTATTTAAAGGAGCTGTTTTAAGGAGTATCAATGAAGAAGGGGGGGGGGGTGACTTGGCTTTTATATATACACGAATAGCGTTTGTATATTATTGTTTAAATAACAACTAAATAAATTGATATTTTACATACATAAGAAATAAAAGCCATTTTACGAAGTTCTTTCATATTATGTACCTGTCCAGTTTATCTTTAATATAACCATTCTGAGTTTTATACACTGACCGTTTCTTATGAGGTCAACATGTATACTTTCTTCAATATTTTCAACCTGTATGTCAATGATTTCTTTATTAGTTCCCTACAGGTAAAACCGGAGGGGACTATAGGTTTCCTGGTCGTCTGTACGTCTCTCCGTCAGTTTGTCCCACTTGGTTTTCCGCAATTTTTTTCTTTATGCTTCTAAGAACTGATTTGAAACTCGGTGGGTAGTTTTATAGCAACAAACTACAGAACAAGTTTGAATTTCGTCTTATTTCATCAACAAGTGCTAAAGTAAATCAATTTTAAACACTTCTCTTTAGTTGAGCTATGGACAACGGTTAACATTTTCCTTACGTAAGCAATCATGTATTTACACATTATATAATGTTATTGTTACGAATTTGCCCCAAAGACAATAAATAAATATTTTCCTTAATTTGTTTTGGATTTTTTTTTGTGCGTCTTTACAGTATAGGTAACGTACTACTTGAGTTATGAACAATGGGTTAACGTTTTCCATATGTACAAGTCATGTACACGTAAGCAGTCATGACTGCCTGTTTTTATCTATAAATCACATGACTAACGTGATCGATACTGAAAAATACATGTAAGCACCAAAGTCATAAAATTGAGGGATTAAAATTACATAAAATCACATTTTTAAGGTGTTAATCATAATCATGTAAACAATTTGTCTGCTAGATATTCATGGGTAAGCGAGAGGATTTTCAAAGGTGGAGTATTTTCAATGCATGACAAACTTAGCCCCAACCTTGGGCCTGAACCATGGGTCAAGGGGGGGGGGGCATGATTTTTTACAAATTTGGTAGAGGGTAAGTGTTTACAGTTTGCCTGCTTATTGTTCCTGAGGAAGATTTTAAAAGATGTAATTTATACCAACCTCTTCTAATATTTTAGCCATGTAGCCATGAGTAAACTCTGCTCTGTTTTTTGCCAAACAGATAACATAACACAAAGTTTGTCGAAAAAGAGCATTTATTATTGAAAATGCCAAATAATATTTTACATCTTAAAAGTACATATATGATACACGTAAAAAAAATCTTAGGCACCAAATAGACAGTAAATCTCATTTTAAAAAATATTTCATTACATGTATACAAAGATAAATGTGCCTAAGATATACACAGTACAAATACTGACATATAAATACATACCTGGTATGTATTGCCCATTGGACTAGTTATGGCAAAAAAGATGGGTCTTATTCCTATTAAAAAAAACACCTCAATATACATGTATGACTAACTTAGCCCAACCCTTT